CCACACAAAAGAAACGCCTCACGCAGGTCAAACGCTCAGCAATATCCTTTCACGTTAACTATCGCGTTGAAGTGATGCCACATTACGTATATATAAAATATTCCGGTTTCTATTACGTGAAGTTTTATAATTGATTGCGCAAACACGACGTAAATACCGGCCTTATGTGTCGCTTCCGTTTCATAGTTTTAGATTTGATTAGCTCAAAGTGTCCCCTCACTCAATGGATCGACTCACGCAGCAGTAGGCGTAGAACATGTTCGACGACCCGTTTATGTCACTCCGCCGCTCGGCGTTGCTATTTTCTTGTCAGCGAGGTTAGTCTTGATATTCCGTAAGCACTGACACCGCTAAAGTAGAACACTCAGTAAAAATTTTCTTTTCAAGCGCACAAATCATGCATAGAGGCCGAAGGTAGTGCCGCTCCCAAAACATATTCATTGTCTAACCCAGAAAAATTGCGAACTACACTATTTTCTCATAATTAATGCGCTTGTGCTATTTAGATTAATGGTTAATCAGTCTTAGAAACAAGACCTCCTAAGCTATAATACACACCTTCATTGTTACAAACGATATTGATGAGCCCTCAACAAATATTGTGTGTTTTTTTTGTTGTTGTTTTTTTCAGGTAAACACACTCTTGAAAGTGTAAAGATGGCCTACGTACGGTACGTAAACACGAAACAGTGTGCGCAAGTGGACCACGTACGGCGAAAGGAACACTCAGAAACGTCTACCAAGACGAACCATATCGGAGACAAACGACAAACTCAACGTCAACAGTCAAAGCCCATATTTTAATTTCAAACGCGTATGTAACAATCCGGGAGCAAATTGTGTGCGAAGAAAAGGGAGCATAGAAGCGCCGCATATGCAGAGTTTCGTTTTTTCGGTAAATACCGATAAACCCCAAAATTTTGCTCCTCAGCCGGTTCCATCAAAATTTGAGAGAAAAAAAGAGCGAAATAGAATTGTCCTTAAATAATAAAAATAGAAACATGTTTGGCTGGAAGACAGCTTTGTAAAGCTTAATTTTATGTTGATCCAGAACACAGGACCAGTGAACTGTCCGCGAGGCTTCTTCTTGCTTTGGAACCCCATATGTTATCTCGTTGCTCTATATTTTATTGCGTTTATTTTTATTTTTTTTTTTTTGGGGGGGACAGGGATTGTTTTTTTTTTAGGAATTCGGGTAATGGAAGTTGAGGATACCCCATGCCAGTGTCCTATTTTCTTCAATGTAAATATTGATGAACTTCAAATGTTCGTCCGTCCGCAAAAATTGTTACCGAAATACACAAAACTTTGTGAAAATATAAATTCCGAAGACTGAGTCGGTGCAGTTCTTTCTGTCTCTTAAATGCTCCAATATCCAAAGTCAGAAAGTCAAAAAGATCCAGGATACTTCAGAATGTCTGGGTGGAATGCCGAGTCAGCGGCCGTGAGAAAAGACTTGTCCAGTCTCCTTTTTAATGTCAGGCAATTATGAAAAAGACCCCCCCCCCCCCACACACACACACACACACACCACCACCACATGTTTTTTTATCATCCCTAGCAGTTCAGAACGACGGGTTAATATCGCTGCTCGCCTGGGTAACGACAGAAACCAATATGAGTGTGCTAGTCTGTCCCGGTTCGCTCTTCATTTGGGCCTCTACTAAAATAACCAGCTATTGATTTTTTTATATAATTGTGAAACAGAGATTTTAAATATTTATCGTAAACATTGCTCCTGGTTGATTTTTTTTTCTGCGTCTCCTCGATTGGTTTTATGTGGATGTTATCTTTTTTTATTTATTTAGAGAAGATTCATGAATTTAGGAATATTACAAATTGTATCTCCAATAAACGCCGATCTTGTTTAAGTGAGAATTCGAGAGTTTTCAGCACAGATAAATGTTACAACTGTGATTTAAAAAAAAAAAAAAAAAGGTCTGAGAATTTTATTTAACCGTAACACAGAAAACACGTAACCTTCGAATTTTAGCATTATTTGAGGCCCATTACGTAAAAAACGCCACCTCTAAAATAGCCTAAAGCTTTTGAGCGAAATGAACTAAACGTAAAGGTAAGAAAAGCCAAAGTCACATATTATTTATTATTTCCGTGCATTGCCAAATTATCGATGCATTAATACCTTCTTAACAAAGTAGAAACCAGCGATAATAAATGCCTGGTTATTTATATTTATTTGCTTGGCAGAAAGGTGCTGTTTGATGATACCTTTAATATAGTTTACATTTCAGCTTAAGGTTACGGGCATCTTTCATTGTACTCTTTCTGCACCAATAATTTAGGTTTACAGGAAAGCATAATTCACCACCACACTGCCAATGCAACGTATAACTTTTCATTTTTATTTATTTTCAAATATATCATGCACTCAAAAAGGCCACTGGTCTGCTCAGTGGTCGGCCGGAGGATAAGAAGGCTTATCTTAAACTTAAATAAACGTTTACGTGTCCTATTTCAGAGAAAATATTGATTGTTCCCAAGTTTGCTCAACTTCTACTAAAACATTACTATTGTATACTGTAACAGGCGAGATACCTGGTTGCGTAAAAACACTTGTAAATCTGACTGAAACCAGGAACAAAAACTAAATCGTAGGGCAAATATATCGGGAAAAGGGCAGATATAATCTTGTTTTGTGTTGTTTTTGAGCTTCTAAATAATAAATTGTGCTAAAATGTTATTACTATTGGAAATCAAACGCTGCCTGAAGTTACTGTACAAAACTACGAAACTAAAAGATGGCTGCAAATCTTCAAGTCGGTCAACTGTGGGACATTCAGAAACTTGAACACGGATTATCATTTTAGCCTGAAACAGCCCTAACACACCCATCGCGAAAAAGTTCCTCACTGTTATCCAAGCGGAGCTCTTCGTGTTAAATTTTTTTTTGCTTCTAATTATTTGTTCACGCAAAGCTACAAAATATTTCCATGCGTTACATTTTCAAGGCAACATGAAACGAAATGAAAAAAGTTTACAGAACTGGCAAACGTTTAATAACTCCAGCATAACAACACAACAGTAATAATGCAATCACTGTAATGTCCATATAAAATATTTTCCGGCTCTTTTGTCAATTATTGCGTGCGTTGTACTGATGCCGAACGCATCTCAAAGGTGTCTGAATTAAAGCTCCTTTTTACAGCAAATCGACTCCTCTCGCGTTCGGGCACAAGTAACTAGTAAATCGTCTTTTTTTTTTTTTAAGGACTGCTTACTTGATTTATTTTCTTCTTTGTAATCCTCACATTTCAGAAATTTAGAGATAGTACGAATTTTCCGAGTAGAAAGCATTTAGTTGTGTCTGGTCAATCGCCTCACTCATTTCGTAGGTGATTATGTTTGCTTAGATATGTGTGCTCTGCAGGAGAGAACACAAACACGCATTGTCGGTAATGGTACGCTGATTCTTCGAGTAAATGCGTTTTTAAAAGAACAAAATATCGGCAAAAACAATAACCCTTAGAAGTCTGCAAGCACAAAGGTTGAGAAAAAAAACCTAAAAACCGTCGTATACTTCGCGCTTCGCACTTATGACCCGCTCCTCCTTTCCTATATCCTCGCCAATGTTTACCTTGCACCAACATGATTCCCCTCGTTAGTCCAGAAGAGGGGGACACCAAGAGGATCGTCATCCCTTTCAGAAAACCGAGACTGTACGTCGGCCTCTAAGCAAAAACAGAAGACATATCCAGCAACATGCTCGAAATGACACATTTTTTAAGGAGGCTTCCATATATTTCCTGACTTTCTGGTAAAAGAACTTGTGCAGATTGAGAACGAAGCATATTTACAGAGGGAAAGATTGGTGCATTTCTTTTGAAATAGTTTAGTATATAGCATGTGACAAGAAATAAAATAGGTTGTAATTAATGTGAAATTCCTTAATCTAATATTCACATTGTTTACACATAATTTGTCGACACCATCTTTTCAAAAAGTAAAACATGTTATTTAATATGACAAATCGTGTAGCCGACAGCGACTGACTTCTGTTGGTTAGGTACTGTAAAAAGTGCATGAATAGTATACTGAACAAAAGGAGTCGGCGTGCATTAATATGCTATTCTTTCTTAACTTACGTCATTTGTATTCACATTTATTATTTCAGTTAATTGAAGAACATAGTTTTTATTATGTGTTTAGATTAACGTTTTAACCTTGAAGTGTTCGCCCTTTCCGTTTCTTTTTTCCAGGTCATTGTGCAATTCACCGTACGTCACAGGTGAAACGACCTCGCAGCCGGTCACTTGCCGATCACTGCAACTTCCACGGTATAATTTTCACAACTAATCCAATCATTTTTGTTCCTTTCTTTATCGGGTAGTAGCTACATATAAATATAAGATTAAACATGAAGCATATCAGAATAAATGTAATACGACAGCCATCTAGCACAAGGAACTCACGCTGTACACATCGCATGTTTAGAATGATTTTCGCTCTGTGCCTCTAAATTTATCATGGCCTCGCAATGTATAACGATATTGTACATTATTATTACCTCTGGGTATATAAGATCAAAATCAATGACCCTTGGTCACTCAACAGCGCCCTGGACATGCCTGTCGAGCACGCGCGCCGGTACCGTGCAAGCGTCGTTCAGGGCAACATGGTAGCGTTCTCTCCTTCGGCTTCGATCGCACTTTCTTCGTGGTGTTGCCGTCGGTGTCGGTTCTAGGCTCACATTCATTGGCCACATATAAATACCGTCCAGAACCCCGTACGTGTGCATCACATGTGCCAGTGAACCTCCAAATCCACCTTCTCTTGCCACGCCATACTGATGCTGCGGTAACCATGGCTAGCCTTGCCAGCAACGAGATGTCGATCCTTCTCTGCAGTACGCAAATGATCGGTCCTTGCCGCTTCAGCGAACCGCGCAGCTCGACGCGCGATCCCGTCACGCATCTGCTCGAACAAACGGGTCGGCGGTGCGCAAGCCACGGTCCCGCAAGCGGCGAGCAAACTCCTCTCACCTGCTTCTTCTGCTGGTAGGGCATGTCGACCGGCGTGCGGGGGCCGTCTTTCCGCGTCGTCCTCGTCAATCCTTGGTTCGACCGTCGGAGCTGCGGCGTTGCCGCGATTAGCCACTGCCGTCGGCGAGGCGAACGGACGTTCTCGCCGGAGCCCCCTGGGGACCCGCGCTTGAACGCACAAGGCGATAAGAAGACCACTACTCCACCTCTGGGAGATGCCTCGGGCTGCTCGACTCGCCCCTCTCGGCGCTAACTCAGAAAGCAGCGACGTCGCGTACCAACTGAGCCAGCGGCGCCGCGCTCTAACGGGTCCGCCTGACGTAAGCGACATGTAAACAACCGATGGGGTCGCATTAAACGGGGACATTCTTGTATCGGTGGGGAGTGACTATGCCGGTGGTCATCACTCCAGCAATAGCTCATTGCCTTCGATGATGTTCTAGAGAAATACTCTCTTAAAAAAGGTATGTGAATTCACTTTCCTGCGGAACACGGAGACAGCCAATCCCGACGAAGTATCCCAGCGAACGACGACGCTCGTAATACGATATGCCCCGACAAAATGCGATTTGAGAAGGGACGAACGAGCAGGTGAAACGTCATACTCATTGTCCCTGTGCATAATGCTTCCACATTTTTTTTTTTCTAGTTGTGTTTTGAGTTGTGTTATTTGCTGGAATCCTTGCATTGTTCGTCGCGATTCATTGTTTTCGTTTTTAAGCGTACTAGCTTGGATTGTGCGCGCGTTACAGATAGACAATCGCAGTTCGTGTCTCGGTAGGCCGCTCTGGAGAAACGTTTTATGGCATTTAAACTATAATGTCATTCCGCCATCTTCTTCAAAGATTCGAATGTGTTTTAACGGATCCCCTAGTCTCAAACTTTTGACCGTCCGCATGTCCGTCCGTACATTTTCCGCTAAATTTAGCAGTTAAATTGATGTCACGTGACCTAAACAATAAATCCAGTTTCTCCACTAAATGTACCGGAAAATGCACGGACGGACGGACGGACGCACGGAAGAACGGTCAAAATTTTGGGACGTGGAGGGTTCTCTAAAAAAATCATTTCGTGTTTTTAAAAAGTGGCGTTGCGAGATCTATACATTAGAGAGTTTTATCATTGCGTACAAAGGCAAACGTAAGCACTGTGCGTTCGCGTTATCATTGTGCGTTCCACACTGCGCGTCTGCGGAGTCCAAACTCCGGTTTTGAATCGGCGCATGGCGGTGTCGCGCGTGCGCAGCCGGGAGCACGCAACGCAAACGCACAGCACTTGGGTTTTGCAGCTCCTCTACGTAATAGTAAAACTATATTTGTTCAGTTTCCTCGCTTAATTTTGCGGGACTTCACGCGACCTCACTTCACGAGATCTATACGCCAATAGACCGATGTCACCAAGCGAACTGCGCAGGCGCGCGCATTCCGGAAGTGGTGCCGCCGCCATGCTAGTTGTAGTTATCCCTTCCCGGCTTCCCGGCTACGTACGGCTGCGCGTACGTACATCATCATAGATTATCATTTGGCACGCCCCGGTATCACCCTGATTCTCTTGCATATTTTTACTTCATATGATTGTGTTGTTTGTGATGCCTTACTTTCCTCAGCAAGTGCAGAAAAGCAGTTTCAGTCATCTTATCGCTTTAGAATCGCTTTGTCGTCTGCTTCGTCGTCGTCTGCTTCTTCGTCTTCGTGAACGCGTGAGCCCACTGCCGTTCACGGGGTAATCCCACTGCGGCCGCGGAAAAAACAAAACTAAAAAACAACGACGCCACTACTCGAGCATTCCGACTCCTCGGACGACTGAATTACCTTGCAAACAAGTGAACATCTAGTGCAATAGCAAAGAACAAAAAAATTCGAGGGACCATCGGCTCGGTGTAGAACCACGGAACAGCATCAAATGTGATGAAAAACTGAGCTCGGTGGCGCTCAGTCTTGTGCATAACGTTTAATCAGCCATCAAGTAAGAGGAGCTAAATAGACTTTCTCGGTCAGCGATAGTTTTCTAAAAGTTGTTTCATTCTGGTTGACAGCCTGTGCGAAAGAGTACAGATGAACAGCGGGAGAAGCCTGCACACAAAGAACTGATTTACAGAAAGGCCATGCCTGACGCGCCGTAATAATTGCCATCTATCAATGCCCGACGGAGGAAGCTTTTATCTGCGGTCTCGACTGGTGATAGTGCAGAATGAATCAGTAACACCAGCCTAGTAGACCACCACAAAATGGATGAGGTTCGTTTGTTACATTTTTGGCGGTAAGTACGTGTTCCACTTCTAAATTGCATTATATAATCTTTTCGCGTTGGTATGGGAAAAAAAAAAATGAAGGCTGCTTCCGAAAAAAAGTTGTTTTATATCAGGTGGTGCATATCGGGAATTGCTGGTCTTTTTTAGTGATTGTCCTGATCTATAGGCAGCCGGCAACGGCCAGGCGGCGCCAGCAGGGTGAGAGCGCACGGTTATACCCTGTCTCGTTGTAACTTGGCAAACGGCGAACGATAAGCCCCACATTGCGTGCCGAAGGCTTCCAAATGCGCGACGTATACGAGCGCAACCCACGCATGTTGGAGCATGACGCAGCGAAAAGTCTGATACTTCTTCGGAGTTGAGACGCGCTCCGGTGATACGCAGTCACGTTCCTATTGGGCCACCAGGGCCGTAGCTTCCGCTCTACTGGCACGTTACGCGATCACGGTTTCCTGGGATACCCAGTATTTCTTGCTTCCGACACTAGGCTCAGCGGCGCCACCGGAGTAATAGCTCACGTTTGAACAATGCAGCCGCCACTCCCAGGGGTACCCAATATTCCTTGCTTCAGTCGCTAGATGGCGCCAAACCAAACAGCATTGCAGGTTGCCTATTGAAGCACAGCTGTGCTTGAAACATTTTGTCGCAATAACAGTTATAACCACCAAAATACACCGAGTAAGAAGTGTATTAAAAACGGCCTCCGCAAAGCAGTTCTGAGGTCCTATTTGAGATAGACCAACGAATAGGCCGCTATGGAGCAAATCATCAGAGAGATTCCAGCTTACGGAACACGTCGGCACGCTCTATGTCTCGTGCCCTGTAATCTTACATATTTTAGCTGACGTGCAATAATGGAATATAAATTATGAAGCAAATCGCGAAACAAATCGTAAAACGCTATTTTTCCTGCCGCTCTGTCCGGCTCTGTCGACCTTTCTTTGCCATGCTTCTTTCTTGCGGAAAGACATAATATCCGAGGCCTTTTCGCCTGGTGCTGTTAGTATAGCTCCGTGGCATACAACATGTGAAGCCACCGATTGAAAACCATGAGTCAACACCTGGCTAAAAGGCTCGTGCTAACTCGAAAATTTCCAAACGCCGGGCGTACGATGAGCGCCGACGCGGCCGGAAAACTGGGGAGAACTACAGGTACCAGAATGCACCGCGGCAGCGGTGGCGTCGCGCAACTCCTCGTGAGATCGGTCTATTCAGTTTCCCTGCTAAATATTGCGGGGAAAGCGATGTCACGTGATCTATGCAAAAAAATCAGTTTCCGCCAGCGTTACTAAAACACTCAGTTGGGAAACTTGCCCTTGAAACCCGGAAGGCTCGCGTCCACCGAGGTTAAACTAAATACAATGACAGCGCCGCCCTTTGGCGACGAGTCAAAACATGGAAGTTGATTTATAAAGCTACAGAGAAATGGCACTGCGAGAATGCGCAACCGGGCTTTGCGCGATTTGACCTGAACCAATAATGCATAGCCCTGCAGTTCCCGGAGTGGCCACTGCGGGAGAAATGGCGGCGTTGGGATCGCCTTCAGTTCGGTTCTCGAGAACAGATCGAAGCCACGTTTTCGAAGCAGGATCTATAGCAGTTTCCCAACTGAGTCGTTATAGTAGCGTTGGCTTCCGCGCTTAAGTCGGCAGGGAAATTGATATCACGTGACCTTTACGCCTATTTATAACAGGCTTGAGCTGAGCTAGTTAGTGCATAGTTCACTTAAGGCCAACTGAACTAGAAAAAACATACACCTAAAGAAAAGACCATTCACACCACTGGACTAACAACTGATTTTCTTTTTACACCGGAGCTGTTAAGAGCTAGGTTCCCCAGGATCGTGTCCGTGTATGTCGACACAAACCTACCTGGACAGCTACCGCCATCTATAAGCGACGGCGGCAAGCACACAACCAGTATGGTTCCCGTTGTCGCTCGTAGATGGCGACAACCTTTCCAGCTATAATAGAAGAATGGATAGTTTGGCGCGTTGGTGGGAATTCATAGTAGGAAACAGCGCGAAAAACAGACGACGACGAAGAAGAAGCACACAGTGTGTTGAGTACAGCTCCGCTAGAGTGTACTAGAAGGAACGAGTGGGACGAGCTACAGGCTCCGCTCATGCTTTCAGTTGCACCTCAAAATGTGGAAAGTGATCAGGTGGACCCAAGTCACTTCGATCGCAGCGCCACCTTCGTATAGTGTACTAGAAAGGACTGAGTGAGACGACCGAAGCGTTTTTTCGGCGCCGCTGCTTGTGGAACGATCTTGGCGTTGGAAAGCAACGCGTTTTTCATAAAATCCGGCTAATCCGAACCGCTTCGCTCGTAGTGCCCGAGAAAGCGCTACGAGCGAAGTGGTTTGCATTAGCCGGGTTTTTCCACATGCGGAGGCACCTAAGTAGCACTCCGGTCGCCCCACTCGGTCCTTCTAGTACACTCTAGCTCCGCTGGTCTTCCCTCTTCACGAGAGTGGAAAGGGTGAATGTTTTTTCTTCCTCTTCTACTACGAGCCTCACTTAAAGGAATGATTCTCTTTTCCTCTTTTTTGCCTTCTAATTCACCTTAAAATTTTTACCCCCGAAGAAATATTTTTTCTCTCTCGTGCAGCACGAGAAAAGGTCCACTAATGCAGACATCGCGTTTTTCATCAATGGCAAGTGCCTCTAGGATTTCACGTCCCAGTTTTGTCTTGTCCTTGCCACGATGTTTGCGTCGTAGGACCGTGCCAAACATTGACGCGCACGACAATGGGTTGGCAAGTGTCCTCCTGCTGACAGGGTTTTCACTGACGCAGCGTGCTCCCTCGTCCGATCGTTAATGCATCGGCCGGTTTGTTCGATGTAACTTCGGCCGCATGTCAGCGGAATGTGGTACTCCACCTCCTTTTGACACAGGGCGTATGGAGACTTGTGAACTGTGCCGCATCTTTCTCGTTGTTACTTCGCTCCTGGTTAACCCTGCGCCACATGGAATAGGCCTTGTTTGGAGCCGAACACACCACCTGAACGCCTTGCCTTCCAGCAACCT